ATATTGTCGCTACTGTTTTTATTTTCGATTGTTCATGTTTGTTCGGTGCATACTTTCATATTGTTTCCTTGATTACGATATCACACTTCGAATGTATGCCCGTGGAACTATTATAATTATTTATCATAACGTCGATGGCCCACTAGCCTTTGATCTCGTTACGAATCGGAAGTATGCCAGGGCAAAACAAGTTGGCACGGACATAACACTACATGTTATTATTATTATGTACACTCACGCTATCGGCTAAATTTAATTTCCCCATTATATATTATATTCAAATATTTATACATAACATTGGATAAGATTTTATATTCATAAATCGGATAAATATATTATATTTTATTACAGCTGTAGAACTCGATTATTGCTGAATTTAATATTTACATTCTAATTAATATTAACTATTAACGGCACATCGACATCGTTAATATTTTAATTAAATTAACCATTGATGTTTTATAATGCACCGGAAATTAAAATACAAAAAAGTTTATTTTGTTCTACATAGCTAAAACCAAATTCTGTTCATGCAGGCTTAAAATTTAATATCTTCGTGCTACGTCGTTTTGTGTCATTATGTCTTTCAAATGTATTAAATGTTTATTAATTACAAATAAAATCTAATATTGTTAAAAAAACTTAACATTTAAAAAATTCCCCAACGATTAATAATAGTTGGTTAGTTTTATTGAACTTAAGCCCGGTGACTAAGGCTATTAGCTGTTGTAGGGGTAAGGTTGGTTAGGTAGGTTGTTTTTACGATTGTTACAATTACAATGAACCCGGGTGGTCACTGGTCACCCATCCAGGAGCTAGTAGCTGTGGCCGTTACTTACTCCCAGTCGCACTCCGCGACTAGTAGCAGCCAACGTGCCACTCCAAGCCACACTTAGATTATTATTAACATTCATTTATTAACTTTAATATTTCAACTATAAAATATTAATATAATTTTAAAACCTACTCTACATGTACCCCGTATTCTCATTGTGTAAGAACAACTCTGCCTATAAGTATAATATCCTGAATATGTAATAAATAAGTTTTTCGTGAACAAACACTCTTACAATACAACTATATTGTAATAACATAAGAGTAATTTAAAAAGTTAATTTAGTTTTTTGCATAAAAACAATTATATTTAATATATTACGTACGTACAACAACTACAGTATCGAAAATATTCAAAGCGATATTTCAAAAAAAATTTTTTTAATATTCAATCTGAAAATAATAAATACATACTAGTTATTATGAAATTACAATATTATTCAATATGAACAATACACACAAGATTATGAAATAGAAATATTAGTGATCCACTTTCCTGTAGAGTTTTTAAAGTTGTCAATTAATAGGTTTAATTTTTTAAAACTTTATATAACTTGACTTGTTAGTTACATATTTTATGATTATTAATAATTATTATAAACATTTAATTTAAATAATTTGTATGTTTGAGAATATTTTCAAACCAAAAACATCATAATAATTTAAACATATTGGAATAATGATTAAATAGTTTGTTATTGCACTCATTCGTTACATTTTTAAAACAACACAATATAATATACTTTTTATTTTATATTTTCATATCAGTGGAGTACACGGATATTTTCAATGGGACAGAGTTTATATAAAAATATTTGTGTACCTATGTGTAGGTATATAATATCAAAATATTTTTTTAAATTTTATTAATTTTTTTACATGGATACATGTAGTAAAAAATATACCAACTAAGGGGGTTAACCCTCCCTCCCCCCCCCACCCCAGATTTACTCAACTGTTTCATGTTGTACTCGTATATACGTATAACAAATAAGATGTGTCTCCATCTATCAAATACTGTTACTTGTCATAAAACCTTAGACCATAAATAAAAATTGAATATGTTCAAAGCATAAAACCATAACCATTTTACACTAAAAAAATTATACTAACTACCTAAGTATAGGCAACCAATAGAAATACATATTTTTCCAGGGTGATACAATTAAAAAAATAAAATGTCACGTGCCAACTCAATCGAAATATAAATATATGTATTTATCGACAACTTTGTACAAATAAATACGAAGACATCGACATGCAATGACATCGAACGTGCTAGAAAATAAAATCATTATTATTTTGTTGTCTGTTTACACGGGTAAATACTTTGTGTGAACTTTTATTTACTTTTTCTATATTTATCTGATTTTAATTAAATTTTGAAATTACATTATTTTTTTTTATTCGTTAAACAAAAAACACATCACCAGGGACATTCGTGTCATGTTTTTGTAGCCCAAAACTTCTGATGAAGGATATTTTCTAAGCATACAATTAAAATGATACATACAACTTAAAATAATATACGCACACATAATTTACAAATTAAAACTTACCAGGTCCACGTGTAATGTCTGCCTTTGCAGGTGTCTTGATAATATTGTCATATTGAATATAACTTATGGCAAACAAATGTGTTTGTTAAAAGTTTTAAATATTATGTAGTTTGAAACATAAACATCACAATTATTTCATCTTTAGTGGTGCGTATCAGGACACATATTATGTGTGAGGCCATGAAGAGTTATTATTTTAATGTCAAATAATTATAGTATACATTCACTACATTTACATTTGTTTTACATATTTTAGTTTTAGTTAATATTAGTAAAATATATATTATTAATGCTTTAAAATAAATTATAGTATATTATTCTATTTAATAATTCATTTACTATATGTACCTACGTCCTGTAATATGCCACGGAAATTTCACAGATCTACAAAAAATAAAGCTATTACTGAATACAATCATTTATGTAGGTAGTAAATAGGTACTATTGTACTAATGTTTATTACACGATTGAATATTGAAGACCGTTCATTTTGATTGTAATACAATAATTATGTATACCCACCTGCGGCACAATAAATAATAATATAAACATATTTATGCATTCAATAAATCAATCAACAATGGCATTTATTATTTACCTACATATTAGCTTATATTAATAACTATAAAATAAAATAACAGAATTTTTATTCAATCATAACTTTGAGAAAACAATTTTTGTTTTGCTTTAAAAAAATTCAAATGTGTTCTCAGAGATTTTTTATAAACGGAACGACACAACGTAATACAATGTGTCAGTCGACAGTCATACATAAGATATTTAGGGGGACGAGGTGACCGAGTGGTCTGACTCTTCCGCTGCGACGCAGCCGGTCACGGTTCGATCCTCGGCCACCGGGCGGCATTTTTCTCCGGACAAGTCGCGGTGACCGGAGAGCAAGTGCTGCCATCCCCCACCCCCGGGGCATGGCAGAAACCTACGGGTGCCCCATTCGAAATTCTGCCAAAACAAACACACACGTGTTCCCCCTACCGTTCCAAAAAACCTACAAACCATCAATACAAAAACCTACAGTACCTACTAATAGCTAATGGCCACAGTTGCCGGGCTCAGGATCAATTAAAAAAAAAAAAAAAAAAAAAAGATATTTAAAATCACTCACTTCACTAACTATTTTATATAATTCATTCGCGATTTTTCGTCAATTTATAAGTTAAAAAAAGAATTAAGTTTGTTCAAATATTAGTTACCATCGTTCATCACATTATTCATATCAATAATAGGCACTAATATAGTCTTAAATAGTTTGTATTGCTATGGTCTTTGGACAATTAATATTGTATTAATATTAATACCGATGACTGTTCTGATAACAAGTATAGCTGTTGTTTTATTAATGTTCCAGTGGACGATAAGGCTTTTTAGTTTTTAGATTTTGACATTTGTAAGATTGTACATAAGGCATTTGTTTAAACAATTTTTAGCATATATTTTTATAATAACAATTTCTTATGTCCTTATTTTATAATTTTTTTAGTGCATTAAATTCACAGCTCCGTTTATAGATAAAAGATTACTATAATAACGCACATTTAGAATCCAATAAATACTATTTTCATAGAATTGTTTTTGATAATAATTTTAAGCGAATTATGTTAGTCGAGAATATGATGACAGATTCATGCCAATATTTGGTGTCAATGACCATTTTATTATTATCGAGACGGGAAGTTATAGCCTATGATTAATGGTATATAATATCCAATGACAAACTCATTATTATTGGTGAAAATGTCTGTTTCTGAAATAATTATCTTATCGGGTAGATCAAACAAGTGGATCCAGACGACTTTTGTGTACGATTTAAACTACTCTTTGAAGTGGATCTAACAATACCATAATTATTAATGTATAAATAATAATATACTGTAGTAATCATTCACATTTCTCACACAGGTTAAAATCCAAATATATCAACTACGGTGGGTACATATTTTTATGTTCTATTAATATGTATGTCAATTTATGACACTAACGAGGGCTGTTTTAGATGGGTTACCTAATGACATAAAAGATACAATTATCCAAGTAATAGAAAGGACATAAATCCCTGGAAGACCCTACTAGGTATACACCACAGATTGCATCTGGTTAATAGTAACATTCTAAATTTCAAAAGGAATGATTTTAGAAGTATAATACAATTGTATTATGGTGATATTAATTTAAGACTGAATCAATGTGGTTATTGTAGGTTAACATGGTTGTCTCTAATATTTCATAGATAGTCATAGTATTATATTATTTATATTATTGTATTTTATATACCTAATGTATCTGATGAAAAATTATATCACAATAACAAATATTTTTGATATAATGTAAAAACTTTTAAAATAGAAGTATACGATTCCTACCGAAAGGTTATTACATAGGGTAATATTCTCATTAATCAATACAACAATCTACATAGTATTCAGTGTATTTATTGATTTTTTTACTCGGTAAACATTTTATGTGATAAGTAAGATAATTTATACCTTCTAAAATAATTTTATAATATTTCATTTCAGTAAAATCAAGACGCAATCGATATAATCATCTCTCAGAAATTCTCAATCACGTTTTAATAAGAACACAGAAATTATGAACGATTTGGGTGATGTGAATCTAGAAGACGAGGTCTGAGGAAACACGCTTATTTGCAATTAATACAATTTTCACATTTATTATTTTATATCAACAATTATTTTACGCAGAAATGTAATGACTAATAACTCACCTCCTTTTCATTAATTCCCTTGTGAATAGATAATACGTTCCGTCCACATGAGTAGTTTTTAGACAGATCCTCAAAGCGCGAATTGATGTTGGGTGTAAATATGTGGAATTACTAATTTTACCAACAGAACACCTCGGTAACTTTAATACATCGAATTACATTGAAATCGAATAAATTAATTTATAGTTATTTAACGTGTTAGAAGTAAACTTAAAAATAAAGTAATACTGGACGGAATGTTTTAATGATAAATGGGCCACTTTGTATTAATGTTTTTTTGTCATGTCTAAATAATATATATTTATTAGTTCAAAGCCGGCAAATCATCAACTGTCAATTGAATCATTTCAAAAGCTATTAGTTTATATTTTTCTTCTGACACTCGCGTACAAATCGTACATAATAAAATTAAACATCTTTACCTATAAAAAAAATTATAAAAACAATAGAGGCGGTACTATTAATTTTAGACTAGCATAATATATTTGGCAATGTTTCGTGTCTTACTAATGTTCGACGTGACTAACTATATTATGTATAGGTAATATTACTTTATATATAGTTATATAATAAATATGATATAGGTGTATGATTCAATCCTTAACAATACAATTTGCCTAAACATACATTTATAATTATAGTTGGTATATAATTTTCAGAAAAACACGAAATTCACATTGAATGTTTAGATTTATTATAGATTATATTATAATATATTATAATTTTTAACCCATGTGACCAAATATATGTATGGAATATTGTTCTTCCTATAATTATTTAAGAGTAGCTTCAATTTTTATTTTAAACACATTAAATCTATATAGGTACGCTTTGGGGCATTTTTTGTGCTATTAAAAAAATCCCAAATCATGCTAATATATAAATAGTATAATATAATATATGCTGTATTTCTAAAAACCTGTACAAAACCGATTGTCCGATAGTTTTCTTACCAAAAATGTATTTGTTATAAAATAATTTAAAACAAGTCAAAGTTTCTGAAGGATAAAATTATTATAGAAATTATCTAAGTGCGCTGCTGAATAAAGTTATTGTTAGTTTGCAAGGCAAATGGATGTAAGGTATATCTATTGTTATAAAATATTTGAATTGCATACGTAATAAAAGAAAAAAAATTTAAAAAAAAATAGTTTTAATAATAATAGATACCTACTAACTATAAAAAAAAATATAATGACAAATAATACGACGACATTGATGAATCTTGGTAGTATGTCTTTTATTAATTATTCTATAATGCAAAATATCATAATTACTTACTTATAAGTAGTTATAACTATTATAACTTATAAGTACTTAATCATTTAAAAATATAAGGTTATTTAATTTTTATTGTTGAAACGAACTGCCTTATTGAATATGAGTGTGTAGGTATAAGTGTACTAATGTCAACATTTAGGGGGCTGCCTTTAATCGTCACAAACCGCTCGAACACATTTTGTGCATAATACTGTACCTATATACTATAATATGGCCATGTACAACGAACCCAACAAACATGACGTATACGTGACGCACATTGTATTAACGTTTATAATATAGAGTCTCGTTGTGTTCACAACAAATTCACAATATTATTAGTATTCCGATCCGGTGAACTTGCTGATATTGCTACATTTTTAATCATGTATACGGGTGGGTGTACCTGAAGGATCTGGTGATTTAATTAACAATCTAAATGTGCAATTCTAATGTCTCTCAAGTCTCAGGTGAACACTATGTACACATTCCTTGCAGGTTATTATAGCGCGGACAATATATAATATGTATGCAATGCGTATTATTATACAGATAATCCATATCGTGGAGCTACCCGGGACGACGGTTCAGTCGACTCTCTCGACTTTTCTCGGGCTGACCTCGCTGGCGGGTTTCCCGCTGGATGCGGCCGATGTGCCCATATTGATCATAAAAAACAACTCTACCTTCAAGGTGCGCCACCGTGGATTTGGCACTCGGCGAAGTGTGTACATGGTGGAGGAGACACGTAACTGCCGCTTCGGTGGTTCGGAGCTGCACGTTTGGATTATTTACGAACGGCTACCGCGGTATAAGTCGAAGGTCGGAAGTGCGAGAATTGCGTATTTGGTCGAGAATCTAACCTGTCGCCGCGGGAAGGACAGTAGCGCGAGTCTCGAAAAAAGCAGCTACACGGCCGGCTACTAAGATAGAAGTACATGGGCACTTTTCGGAAAAATAACAATGCCACACGCGTGTATACTGTGTTAAGATTGACCGACGAACGATTGTAATATTCTCATTTCAACGACACTATAATATACACAGTCATTATAAACCATGATTTTGATCGAGCAACATTGTAACGTTATATGAGCAATCCATTGTCTATAATATAAATTTTAATAATATTATTAACATATTGTTCATACAAATATTAACTAATATCCTATGATTATGTACGTACAATATACATAATAAATTATAAGTATTTTTAACCTCCACAGTAAGGCTTTATTATAAATAATATATATTATACCCATTGGACAAAGGGAAAGAGAGCCGAGCCGAGTACTATACGAATATATTCCGTGACAAACTCTATATTATATCCACTTCACACTCGTCACCGTGGTCCCTGTCGGCTAAAAAGAATAATATGGAAGCTTCGCCAAGAAAATTCTCCAGACAATGACTCCAGCTATGTAGTGTCCGTCCCACAGAATTTACGAATATTAATATACACATTAATACCGTGGCAGTTTCAATTGAATCACGCAATTCACCGTGAAGTCCCGTCGGTAATAAGCTACAGAGATTAGGTAACTTAATATAATATATTTTAATATGCTTACATTCATAATCCAAATTGGTTCTACGCTTAACTAAGATTGAAATATTTCTATTCATATAGAAGTATGTAATTTCTTTAAAACCAAGTTACCAAAATAGTATTTTAGTTCATGAAAAAAAACTGAATGTAAATCCTATTTTTAGATTTAAAATGTGCTTAATATATACTCAGGGGGAAATCTAAAAAATAAATTATGAATGTAGTTTTAAATAAATTATTTAAATTATTGTATTGTCAACTGAAATTTTTCCAAAGGATTTAAATTATGTAACTGGTTTTTATTCACAATATCGGAATATCCAAACAATATTATTATGTATGTCAGTTTTCAAAAGTTTTCTAAATGACCTATTTAAAACATATTTCAAAAAATAATTAATTTTGTAATTACTTATAAGTGTGGTGTTGACATTTTCTTTTGATTTCGTTACTTAAACTTTGAAACAAAGTCAATTTTTAAAAGAAAATAATTGGTTTAACAGCGATAAAAGTATATAATGTTACACTATTCTTTATAGGTAAGATGAAAAATTATTTTCGCAGAGATCTGTAATTAAAAACTGAAATGTATTTCATATTGTGTAATAATAATAATAATAATTCCCAAAATAGTTAGGTACTTCTGTATTATATTTTATATAGGATTATAATACAAGATTATTTAATATAATGTATAAATGACATAACTACAAAAGAGGACATGAAGTCAATAATGTGATAAGTGCCTAAAAGTTTATTTTAAGTTATTCGATTTTTTTTTTCAATTCTTATTTATAATATTATGTAAAAGTGTATTGAAACAATTATGTTTTTACAACTACAAGATCCATGACCGAACATAATATACTAATTATTCAAATTGCTATATGAACGACACTAAACAATCAACTCTATTGGTTTTTTAAAAATGTTTTGTTACTCGTAAACGAATACGACATACTACATATTAATTTGAAAATCTTGGCTAAACATGATATTTGGACTAATACAAGAAAAGCTTGTCAAGAAATTAATCAAATAATTCTGTCTTAGATGATAGAGCCTTAAAAATATTATAATATGTAAACATCTAATCATTTTTATAGGCTCTTTGTCGAAATGTATTTTGTTTTCCACAATTGAATTATTTATATGTTATACCTACCAAGTACCAATGCATGAAAGTCATAATAAATATAAAATAATATTCAATATTGTTTTTTCGATAACATAGTAGATACAAAAAATTTAAAACGTATGAAATATTTTTTACGAAGCAAAAATCATTCTATCTCGGTTGTTGAACGAATATTTTGAAGAGTGTGTACCTATGTTGTGCACTCCAAATTTGTTTTACACATTTTTTTTCTACTTCGTTTTTACATAAATATTATTGTATTTTTTTGTTGGTTTTGTTTCGGTATAAACCTACGTTATTTGTTATACACTTCTACACAATCTGATAAACTACATTGCGCGTACAGAAAAAAATGCATAAGAGTATAGCCGATGATAATATATAGGTATATGCGACATGCCACTTATTATTGGTCACCTATGTGTTTAATTGCTATGCATTAATTGTATTCAAAGTCATCTACCCACATGCATTTTCGACCGGTCTCTCGTTTAATTTACCTACAGGCCTATTGAAGGGAAAGCAAATAATTTATAATAATACTTAATAGTAAATAGTAATAAATTCGTCGTTTTCCTGTACACGCATAATATTATTATCATGTTAGAATTTCTAGGCATCACCAACACGTCATATATTTTATACTCACCAACATTATAAGCTTGATTTAAGAAGTAATTATTATCAAGATTTGAATATAATTTCGAATTTCGAATAGTAATTAACTATAGTACTCTTATAAATTTTAAATTTTGAAACCATGTTGCAGATAATTACAGAATTTTAATGACATGAAAATTTCCAATTAATATCCAAACACTTAATCGTAAAAGCATAAATATGTAGAGTTGGGCCATAGTAATGTCTGTCAAAAATATACTCAAGAACTTTGGTTAAGATGTTAAGCACACCTCCTACACGTCGCCGTAATATTGATCAATTTACTATGTTATGTAAAGGTAATTAAAAACCATGGGGTTAATGACTTAAGGTATTGTTAATTTGAATAACTTATTAATTTCTCATTCACCACAATAAGAACCTACTTTAAAAATATCAGTTTAACACCGTATGTGGTGGGCTTAACTATAAGTTCTCAAATTAAAATGTTTGATGAAATTTAGAATTTAAACACTTAGAAGTTAGAATCGTTTAAAATGCTATGTACTACAATACTATACTATTTAAATGTATGATTCAAGTATACATTAAACAAAGATTACGTGTATATATATGTATACCTGAATATGAATAATGTTTCATTAAATTCCTCTCGATAAATCTTAGTCCATGCAGATTGACCCATAATCCGTACATGAATATCGTACACTACAGTATTCATAATGTATAATAGAATTATATACGAAGTCGAACGCTTATTAGTTATTATTATGGAAGATAAGAATCGAGTGTTTATTATATACAATATATACCTACCCATAATGTGATAAAACGCGTTTGAGTAAAAATTAAAAATAAATAAAATAATGTTTATGAGTATGCTCAAGTATGACCGAAGGATAAGGTTGTGTGTACTGGAGAATCGTATTTAATAGATACGGTGCAATATATACATATAAGAGTTTTTTTTCCAAGTATACATAAGAGCTTCCCACGCAAATTCCTTCGAGACTGACAGGTTTCAAATGCGTGGGTACGAGTGCGTGAAAATTTCAACTCTATAACGATGATTAATTTGATAATTCAAATGAACCGAACACGGCCAAAACGATTGAAATCAATAGCACGTGGTATAAGATCAAACGACCATAGTGCAAACGGTTACGCGCACAGAGAAACAACGACCGCTTTAATATGCGTACGTCAAAACCACGGATACGTATACAAGCCTATATAGCTAGGTGAGGGATAAAAGGAAATCTGGTTTTATATTATTAATAATATATTGACGATTAATATTAATTTATAGGTACACGATTTTTTTTTTTTACGTGGGAGCTATGAACAAAACAAAAATCACCGAAGGGGTTTAATTTGCTGGGAAGGTTTAATTTTACACGAGAATTTGGATAAACATTTTCATCTACAGGGAAACTTAAAGGGAACCGACGAAACTTTCACGAAGATTGGTATAGGTATACGTGTAGCAAATAATAATAATTTGAATCTAAACCAAAGTTCAAACAGTAAATTTCTTTCCAGAAATATTAACGTATACTGGCTGCGTCCATATAGGTGAATGGTATTTTATCAACATTGATCTAAAATGTCGTTAATGATTGATTTTTTGTTTATGTCCAACAATGAATCTAATGTTATATCATAACATACAAATATAACATTAACATTAACAATTTTTATTTTTATAACATTTTTGATTTTAGATTATAGAGTCTATTAAACATTACTCTGATTTACGCATATTTTATGTATCTATATATTTGAAGCTAACCCGAATATAATACACTGTTTAACAAAAACTAAAAAAAATCCCAAAGGGGAATTGACTTATGAGTAGTTATGAGTGGAAAACTACTAAAGTGACAAGTGTCTATGAGTATGCTGTAGGTATATATAAAATCTCAAATAATTTTGAATAAATTATACAATACTGCATAATATTGCATGTTTTGATATTTTAAATAATCCACAATAGTATTTACTATTTAATTTATAATGTATTTTAAAAGAAAAAATAATTCAATGTATATGAGGGTAGTTCAAATTTAGACCAACCAATGTTTAAACCAAATCCGTTGCAAGTCATTACTTGTTCTATTGTACAGCTACAATTGTATCGGTAAAAACAATTTCGACGGCGACAATAATCATTATTAAAGCATCATGCATATTAATATAATGCGACGCATCACGTGATATCAATCTAAGTGATTTATAATATAATTATCATTACACAGCAAGGATACACCCATATATTCGTCAAAGTGATGTGATAAATATAGGTTAATGTGGGTAGGTATATGGATTGGGATCGTAAAAGTTTGCTAGGAAAGCTTTAAAAATGTGTAACGATGTATTTTAAGGACGAATTATTATATTGCAATATTATACTATGCTGTCCTGCCACCGCCTCCGTGTCCAATATAATATTGAAAAATACGGTTTAATTAATTTTTTTTTTTAATTAACCAAAAAGAGCCAAGAACAACAACTTACGTAATAGCTATTTATTTGGTTAATTCAAATAGATCGTTTTAATTGGATTATATACATTACACGTCGTATTAGTTCGCCTTTTCATAAACCCGGCGACAG